ACAAATTTTTTGTAAACATAAACAAAAAACGTAATATCTCATATGGGTGTGGAACTCACATAGGACCCACATGATATGAATCCACATCCATGTGACACATGTGATAAAAATTTTAATAGAACTTTTGAAATCCCTAACATTATTCTTTTTTTATTCCTTTTCAATTATTTTCTATTGCTCCACATTTTTTTTCTTTCTCTTCTTTCTCTTACCTATAATAATATAATAATATGCATATATATATATATATATAGATATATAAGAATCGCTTAGCTGCTTGAAATTCTTATTTTCTTTCTAATTTTGTCTTTTCATTTTAAATAATTTATTAATGGTAACCTATATGTTGAGTGAAGGTTTTTTCGTAATTATGCAAACATTCAATTATATAACAGTTTTTCATAATTATGCAAACATTCTTGGTCAATCATGAAATAGGTTTTTTCGTAATTACGCAAACATTCTTAGTCAATTATGAAACATAAATCTTTTATTTTTCAACAAATTACAAATACACCCATAAGATTTGTTTAAAATAAGAATTGATCCTATAATACTAGAAATTACAACTACCGTTTGTTATAAATTTTCATTTAACATAATACTTAGGGGGAAAAAAAAAACAATTCTCCTATGCAATAATAAATTATCAAAATTGTTTATTGAAAAATATTTATCATATCATTAAAAACTGTTAATTGACTTAATGATTTATTTATTAAGAAATTGGTTAACTGGAAATATTTTTCATATCATTAAAAATTGTTAATTATTTAATGATTTATTTATTAATAAAATTAGTCATTTGTTATGCGAGTATGATTAATGTATTAATAAAATTAGTTATTTGTATATATATAGATGTATTTTCTTTCCTTCGTTATTAGTTCAGTGAATTAATCTTAGTAGTTTTTTTTAGATAAGAAAATTATCTTAGTATTTATTTTATATTTATCTATTGAGAAAAGTTACGCACCATAAATTTTTTCATAAATTCAGAAGAAATGTTACAGAGTCATAAATGCACCCAAAATGATATGGTAATAGAATTGAAGTTTATATCTTGGGTGTATAACAAATTAAAAAAAATGCATATACTACATAATTTTATTACATATCTAATGATTTATTTTATTCAATTTTATAGAATAATATTTTAATTTTTAAAAAATTATCAAACTATGGCATAGTTTGAGAAGTTGATTTTGGTGGGTTAGGGGCCAAAATAGCTACAAAAAATAAAATAGATTATTTTAGCCATAAAAAATAAAATATCAAATCCAACCTATAATCATTACACTCATCTCTCACAAAAAAATTTAAAAAAATCAAAAAATTAAAAAATTCTTTCCAAACTAAACTTTTTAACTCCAAACTAAAATAATTAAAAAATCAAAAAATTAAAAAACGAACCCACTTCTCAAACGGAAGCTATAAAAGTTAAATGTACTGTAATAATAGGATGTACGCCGCACGAGCTTTTTTAAACTAATAAATATGTATGTATATACACACAATGACGTTACTAGAAACAACAATCTCAAAAACTATTAATTAAGTAATAAAACATGAATGATTACACGCAAGTCAGAAGACTACCCAGATCATATTATCTTGAAACTTTATTTTATAAAATAAATTAAAAATGAACTAAAGTTGTTTCATCTCTAAAAATCAGGAACAAATGGAAATCAATAGGTATTTTATATTTTTAAGAAACCAACAGTTTTTAGAGAATTCAACAGTTTTTAGAGAATTCAACACAACACAATCTATTTTAAAAAAATAAAAAAATAAAACTAATTTCACTTTGCTAGATCTATCCATAATTTTGAGAGTAAAAAGCAGTTTTAGATTGTGTATGTGTTAAAATCCGACTTGACCATACACGATCAATAAGATGTTGTTATCCTAACTTCGAAAACAAATTCCATTTTTTCCTTTTTTGGGGGGGGGGGAGAACTATATGTAAGTGGGAGAAAGAGGTAAAAAAAATAACCAACACACTTGCACCCCTACATCCTTTTATTTACATCTCATCACAGACATATTTGCACCTTCATATGCTGGTAATTTTTTTTCTCATTCTTCCATTTGCTTGTAATTCTCTCTTTCTTTTTTAAATTAAAATAATAATTTTAAAAAATAAAATTACAATGGATCAAATAAAAAAAACTATACACATTTGATAGTTTTGATTTTTAAAATTGATTTCCCATCACCACGATGTGTTGACCAATTATTAGGGGCAAATTTCGAAATTTGAAAATATATTATTACAATAGTAATAATTTCTTAAAAGGTTAGATTCTGAAAAAATGGGCTAACGGATGGAATATTAAAATAATATATTTGGGTTAAGCTTTAGTCAAATATGAATTATTCTGATTTTAAGTCTTATTTTGATAATTCAAATCATCTATTTTATAGATATCTTCAATTTAATAGGACTCGAGTTCTTTATTGTCGCGTTTCCCAACTAGAGGGTGCTATAGGCCGTATGGATGATCCCAATCATTCAATTTGTAGATCTCGTTGGCTACTTCATCTTTGTAAAAATTACATTTATTGAATATGGATAATTACTTAATCAGATTACACATCGATATCCGATCATTGTAATTTTTTTGCAGGGATGAAATACTCAAAAAACTCTACACATTAAACGGTTTGAATCATCAATGCAAGTGCTGTGGTGAGCCAACTGCTGCCTAATAGTTCTCTTTAAGCCTCGTTTGGGAACAGGCTAATTTAGTAACTTTTTGACTATTTGGCTAAAATATGAGCTAAAAAAAACTAGTATGTTTGGGATTGAAAAATCTAGAAATCCCCTAGATGTTGATTTGTGATTATGTACCAATTTTAAGTCGTAAACAACAATCCCAAGCAAACAATCAAGACAAAACAACACAACGATTTTAACGTGAAAAAACCACAACTGGACACCTCCAATTGTGATAAAAAAAACCACGGGCAACAGCCACAAAACAATCCATTAAGAAGATATAAAGGAATTACACAGGTATACTCTCAATTACCTAGCGAATCCACGCCTAATTGAACCAACCTCTATGTGCCTCCTCCAACCCGTCTTCACCTCGGAATTGTCTTTACGATGAGCCACCCCGGAATCCACCAAAGCTTCAGGCTCGAATTCTTCAGAATCCACCGAAGAACAACTCTCTCTTTTGTATAACAAACAAAACTTTTGATGTATACTCTTTAAAACATGAGTTTAATACTCAATCAAAATATCAAAGAAAACTCACAAAGTATCCCTAAATATAAACCCTAGAACCCAAAAAGAAGATCTGGAGTAATAATCCTAAAATCTGACCCAACACGCGAATTTATAGAATCTGTCCTGCGATCTCCGCTCGAGCGCCCAACAGCCCACTCGAGCGGCTGCAGCAAAATATGCGCGTGATACAACAGAGGTCTGCTCGAGTGCTAGAGAACCCGCTCGAGCGCAAAATCACACATCTCAGTACTTTTACAGGCGACCAAAACTGTTGGAACCAGGGATTCTCCGCTCGAGCGGACAGGCAACTTGGAATGCATTTTTGCATTTTGCTTCGGGGCGCTACCCCTCAACCCCGCCGTGGCGCTGCCCCGGACCCGCCAAAGGGTGCTGTCCCCTAGACCCCCGCGAGCTGACCGGGCAGCTCGATCCCTGTCATAATTAGCGAAGTGGCAATCTTGAAAGCATTAGCATCACAAACTTCTCTGAAAGGCACAATTCGGGTTAGATTCGCATCTAAACACTCATAGCCTCATTGAAATAAAAGTGCGAAAAAAAATACAATTGAAAGGAGTTTTGTCAAACGGGGTTGCCAAGAATAAAACCTAACAGGGATGACTTTTTTATTTTTTACGAAATGTTGTGCAAAAAGTAAAGAGAAAAGAGAATCTTTGACTTTTTGGTATGAGTTGTTGACTTTTTGACTAATTTAGTAATTTTTTGACTTTTTTACTAAAAGCTTCGATTATGGACCAGAGAGAAGCCTTTTCTAGTTCAATAATCACGTTTGTCTAAGAAATATTAATGATCATTTTAAAAAACACACTTGATGTTGTTTTATTTTAAGAAAAACTTTACTTTACCCCATGTGGTTTGAGCCATGTGCGGTTTATCCCCCAACATTTGGAAATAATCACATAACCCCTATGTGATTTGTGGGTTGAAGTACATCATTAAACACTGTTAAACATTTTGTCCAACTTAATAGTAAATATGAAACACGTGGCAAACACAATAGGGTTATATATTTATTTTCAAATTTAAAGGGGATAAATTACACATGAAATAAAGTACAGGGAGTTAAAAGTGCACTTTACCTCCTAAACAATTGATGAAAATATAGGAGTATTTTAATATTTTACTTTAAATCGTTAATAGTTCTAACGGTGCATTTTAGTACACAAACTACAAGGGGTTGATACGATCATTTCTAAAAGTTAGAGGATAAACTGCATATGATCAAAATCACATGAGGTAGAGTGAAATTTGCCTTTTATTTTATTTAAGACGGAAAACACCATGGTACACACTATTCAAAGGGTGTGCACCATATGTATATTATAATTAAAAAAAATTAACATAATTTTAATTTTTTAAATTATAACTAAAAAAATTATCATAACTAAATACAACATAAGATATAATTAAAAAACTTATAAGTCATAATTAAAATAATATTATAACTAAAAAAAATTTAATGAAAAAATTACATAACTAAAAATACATAAATACATCCTTAAAAAAAAAAGAATGTATATATTATAATTTCTTACAAGTGACAGTTAAATTGAAAATTGAATTATACTCCTATCCAATCTATAGGGTGATTTGAAAATTTGATTAAAAATTAATTTTTAGTTTTTCTTTTATCATTTTATATATAGAAAATATAAAAGATAAAAATACGAGTTAAACTGAATAAAAGCTAAAAGTTAAATTTTAGCTAGCTTCCCAAACTGATTTTCTTTTGGAAGATGGGTGATAGTGACGCTGGAAACTGTTAGAAACAACAATCTTACGCAACTCAACAAACAAACCTTGACTTGATAACCACCACAACATCATCAACGAATTAGGGCTTTCAATCTTGACATTTGAAACCCTAGACCTGACCACCTTCACAATCCACAAAATCTTCGAAAGCCTTTCAATCAAACAAGCTAGGGTTTTGGAATCTCCCACAAATGGCGATCCTCAGCGACGCCCTTCGTCAAGTCTTCATGCCGAAGCACGAGTACGAGTGCCTCCGCGACGAAGACAGAGCTTGGCTTCGTCTCCAAAGGCCTCTCTTGATGTCTGCTTTGGCATTCGTTTCTCTCTCAATTGTCATCTCTATTTGGATTAGCTTCAGCATAGTGTTCCCCGCCGCCCACGGCGGCGGAAAGCGGCCGTTCTGCTCCGTTTTGCGGTTCCGGTCCCTGTCGATTAATGGCAGCGCAGGCGGTGGGGATTCGGATATTTTTTCGGGAGCTTTTTATCTTACGGATCAAGAAACTGTGGATTATTACTGGATGGTTGTGTTTGTTCCTTCGACGTTGGTTTTCTCCATCTCTGCGGTCTATCTTGTAGCAGGTTCGTCAATAGTAAACCTTTCTCTTTGATAATTTCGTATTGTGAATTTTGTTGTTTGGAATGGAAATGGAAATAAGAGAGATGATAGGAACTTTATATTTAGTTGATTTGTTGGGTAAATGTGACTGGGACATGAAAACAAATTCACCCTAAAAGCTTTAGCTGATGTCTTGTCTTTGTTTTTTTGTTTTTTTTTTGGTGTGGAAACAATAGAATGCTGTGCAAGTGTGTTGATTGGTTGATGATTAGAGAAAAAACATGAGAGATTTGCCTTAGATATTCTGATAAATTACCACCTCATTAGGTCTAAAAAGAGGGTCTAATTTTTGAATTAGGATAGCATGCTTAGTTTTTTTTTTTCCTTGGGTATTATTTCTTGTGCGGTTGTGGTGTATTTGCAGTTTACTTCTTGGTCATACCAAAACAGGCACAATTGCACAGAGATATAATGATTTAATGTTTTGGTTAATGGGTGTGAATTATGATTGTTGCATATGGAATGAGTACAGGAAATTGGAGTAGATAATAGATATAGAAGCGATGTGTTCATAAATGGAAAATGAAGTTTTTAATTTGGTTTAGCTCGGTACATATCTGAATTGTCTAGTTATATTTCCTTTACTTTGTCTTATTGTCTTGCTAATGTTGTAGTCACGATGCGGCAGATTGAAATTTAAATGGGCACTTTATATCAAAACATGTTGTTTACAAATGTAACTAATGCATTGCTAAGGCCTCGTTTGGGAACAGGCTAATTTAGTAACTTTTTGGCTATTTGGCTAAAATATGAGCTAAAAAAAACTAGTATGTTTGGCTTTTTGGCTTTTCGAAGGGTATTTTTGTGAATGTGAGCGTGCCAGCAAGGATCAATCAGTCCTTACAGAAATTGTGATTGCCAACCAATTATCAGACGATTGTGTTTTAGTTCTTTTCAGCCTCAATGAAGAGGACTTTTACTGGTGGCTTGATTTAGGAGAAGTTAATAGAAAATAACAGTAATATGAAGAACAATTGAAGTATTTCATAAAAATGAACACTTACAATGGTCCGAACTCAGCCTCAGAGAGATTTACAACAGCAATCTACTTGAATCTACTTGAAGCTACTCCTATGAATCGAAGTGCAGTGCGGGTATTTAAAGTGCAGGTATTTAAAGAACAGGTATTTAAAGACTGGAAATGTAAAGACTGAAAAAGAAAATATATGAAGTAAATGACTGATTTGTATGATCTGAGTCCCTCCGTCTTTCTGGGGGCTGCCCTGCTATTTATACTCGTCAGTGATGACCTTCGAACTGCACTTCGAACCGTCGAACTGCTCCTCCATGATCGCTGATCATGCTTCCTTACAAGTAGCTCCATTACGCCATTACTGGCAGTTGAGCTTCCCTCTTGTACTTGGATTTGAATATGAGTAACCGTTGAAGACACGTCATCTTGCATCCCGTTATTTGATCTAGTGTTACTCAGATCATGTGAGGACCAATATTTATTGCCACGTGTACGATCAGGATTAAAGGCTTGAATAACCTTCCTTTATTATCCTTACTATGCCACGTGTCGAACTGTAACTGACTTTTACAAAATATGTAGCCAACAGATGACTTTTTGGCTTTTTACGAAAAGATGTGCAAAAAGTAGAGAGAAAAGAGAATCTTTGACTTTTTGGTATGGATTGTTGGCTTTTTTAGTAACTTTTTGACTTTTTAGCTAAATGGGCTGGTTCCCAAACGAGGCCTAAGTTTTCGGGTAAATTACATTGACACCCCATGAGATTTTTGTTTAAAATAGATTTTCATGACATTTCGGAAATTACACTAATCTCCTGACAATGTTTCTCTTAGCTGGGATGATAGAAAATGTAAATCTGTCTTATTACTCTCACACTCAAAAGGAAAATCACTTTATTATCTTCACTACATTCTTCATCATCCTGCCTACCAAACCCTAATACTAGACACTATCTCCACACCACAGTTCCCATCACTGACATTCTCTTCCTCCTCCCCTCCACCACCACCGCTCTCCTACATTTTTGAAAATTTGCGTGTCCGTGGCTATGTGTCTTAGCTCTCGGCAATTGGTCATAGTCTCCTCCCTCTCAAAGATTGGTCATAGTCTACGCATGGCGGCTCTTATTTGGAGGGAGTGGGGTAGATGCTGTGGGGTGTTTTGATGGGTGTGGCGGGGTGAAAGGGTTGTGGTGGTGCTAGTTTTGCAACATATTGGGGACAGGGTGGTTTCAGGGAATTTATACCCTTATAGGGAAGGGGAGGGGAGGCGAGGGGAGGGGAAAATAGAATCTGGCAGGGGATGGGGCACGGTTGGGGTGGCTGTCTTTGTCATGGGAGTGGGAGAAATCTTCCTCCACACACCCCACCCTGCCCCATTGTGATTCATATTTTCACAGGGATTAACACATTTGTACCCAAATTGCTGTGGGATTTTGCACAATATCTTAATCTTATTGGAAATTAATGTAGAGATTTTACTTTTCCTACTATCCCATATACAAGTTAGCTTTGTAGAAGGAATAGGTACCTTTACCTTTAATAGTATTTTTCTATTGCTTTATTACTTACCAACAGTAACTACTAATCAACAGAAAGGAAAAGGAAAAGAAAAACAAAAGAGGAAAAGAAAAACAATAGTCGGTAGGAATGGCAATGGGGCGGGGTGGGGCCGGGGACCACCCTATATAAATCGGGGGGCTGACCGGGGCAGGGGGCGGGGCCGGGGCGGGCCGGGGATGAAATATATATCACCGTCCCCGGCCCGAATGTCATCGGGGATTTATTTTTTAATACCATCCCCGGCCCGTCGGGAGTATTTTTCGGGAAAAAACCACTTTTATCGGGGTCGGGTCCCCGTCGGGCCGGGTTCAAATTGCCATCCTAATAGTCGGTTATGAAAGTTTAGCCTTTTTTGAATTCCAATTAAGGAATTATAAATATTTTGTTTCCATTTTCATTTCCCATTGTGTCCATCTCCTTCCCCTTTTGGAACCTGAATAACAGTAACTTACTTTTAGTTTGTTTTTCCCTTTGGTTTTTTTGACATATGTATTTAATCAGTATCAATTAGTCTCTTGATGCTTCCACATTGTTTCAAATGCCACCACAGCTCCCCTTCCAAGCCAAAAGAAAATATATATATATATATATATATATAAGTAGATAAATTAACGAAGTTGCAACATCCATGAGATTCAGATTATATGAGTAACTTATTACTCTCAATTGGTTGTAGAAATTATATTTCATTCAATGTGAAGCTGATATTGCCGCTACAAGAATGATGCTACCAATTTGATTTCATGAGGTGTGACAATGCCAACATGTCAAAAGTAACATTTTTTTACGATATTTAAAAGAAAGGAAAGGAAGAAAAGAGTAACTTTATGTTTATGGATACTAAAGGTACTTGGGACTTTCGTATTTGTTTGGGCGTTGTTATTTCCACAGCCCAAAATACCTTTTCCTAATTTTGTATTAACTCATTCCATAGTTACTATTCATTGCATATTTGGTATTAGCTCATTGTATAGCTGTATTATTTGAATAACTTGTTTGTGTTTTAATATTTAGAGTTTCTTGGTTATGTACTTTTGGAAGGTAAGGAATCTAGAAAGGAGTGACAGGGTCTAGGTAATGGTGTGCCAAAGGGATAAGATGAAGGACTAGAAAGACAGGGTTGAAATGTTCAGGAGGGACATTATTGCTTCGGACTTAACTGAGAATGTGGTTTTGCATAGAACCGATTGGAGAGAATGGATTTATGTAACCGAACGCAAGTGATTAGGGTTAAGGCTTGTTGAGTTGTAAATGTGTTATATCAATGAAGGAGTAGAAGAATCACCTATAAAATTTTCATTTATTTCTTCTTTTTGGGTGTGAATATGGTTTTTAAAAATTCATGCGAACACATTCTCTACCCAAACAGAAACATGCAATGCTTTATTAGCTTTAATGGGTCGAGTGCCTTTGGTTATATAGCATCAATTTTGATATAGATGATCCTGCCTTCCAAAGTGGTTGTTTTTTGGGGCTAATCTTTTTAAGAACTCCATTCTTTAAATTCTGTAATTTAAGGGATGTCTGTCCCATTTAATTTCTAGATTATGTAAGCATCATGGTATTTTTATTTTTGATTATGCTTCTGATTTTCATTTTTCATGGTTTTTGACTTTGCTCCAGGGATTACTGTTGCTTACACTGCTCCAACAAGACATTGGTGTTTAAAGGTTGTTGAGAATAACTATTGTGCCTCAAAAAGGGGTATGTTTTGCGAATTCTTTTATGACTGAATCACTTGATTTTTTGACAGAGAGTTTGGCTAGTGTGACAAGTGTTGATGTTGTTTTTGGAGTAATGCATGTTTTACTTTCGCAATTTGTTGATATTCAAATGTATTCTTTATTAACAATCAAGTGGTAGCCATATGTCAGTGGTTTGTTTTTTACTTATTGGGCCTTACATTGTTGGACTTTGTGGTTAGCACTGTAGATTTTACCTAATTCTAAGAGAGATAGCTGAAATTTATCTCAACTCAACTCAACAAGCTTGTGTCTCAATTACATGGGGTCAGCAAGCTACATGGATTTGTTCTCTTATTGACTTTGGTAAAGGGCGTGTCCTCAGTTATGCTTAAGAAAATTATGGTTTTTTTTACCATCTCACCTATTTCCTCCTCGGCATTTATCTCACTTGCTTATGAGTGTCAAGGCACATACATCCCGGTTCCTTACCCTTGTCAGATCTGGTTATGGGTACATTGGGAGAAGTAGAAGAGTCTGCGTAATTCACAGAATGTTACAATGTTGAGATAGATAAGTGGCTGTTCATGCAATGTAAAACCAAAGGATTGATTCCTGTTGTTATAAGTTGACTACTGTCTACTACTATCTAAAAAATGTGAACAACTTAAGATGTGTTCTACTTTTTTCTATTCCTAAAATTCCCCTTCCTTCACAACCAAAATATACTGCCACGGTGGGTTGAAAAAGCTTGAGAGTTGAGTTGAAAAGGTGTGAGACAATTCTGAACCATTGTTTGCACTAAAAAAAATACAACTTAATGGTGCAAACAACATCAATAAAACTTAATAGTGCAAAAGGTAAGTCCATTAAATAAATTCTTCAATCAATTTTTCACACGCGATTAATTACAATTCACGTAATAAGTTATAAATTATCTAAATGTAAATTTACAACTTTATGAAAGTGAAGTTGAATTCAATCATAAACGTGGATGTATAAACATCATGAAAAAACCTTATAAAGTTTCTATATGGATCGAAATATTAAAGTATAATTTTACTTTCTTACAAATAACTCCAGCACTTTTTCAGCATAAACTATGATACTTATAAGTCATCACGCAAGATCCTCACCACACAGGAAACCGGCTCCAAAAATTCCTTGTTCTATTTGATTTTTGATTTTTGTATTATTTTGTTGTATTCCCTATAAAATTTCTCAATTTAAAAACACAATTATACTAGATAATGAAAAATCACGTGCAACGCACGTGCACCACCACTAGTAGAATAAAACTAGGGAAAGGAGTAAAAAGAATTTATTAACGGGCACTCCATTACATATGTGCTATAGGGTCCTGCCATGGAAGGTCTTTTTGACAATTTCAATTTGAAGTTCCACGGTAATATATTCTTGACTTTACTTTGTTTGATCCAGTTGGTCCACTGGATTTTATTGAATATGCAATCTCTGCAGCTCGCTTAACATCAGTATGTTGAATCATGGCCACATGCCTTTTCTATTGTCTATGGTTGATTTTTTTTTCTCAATTCATGGACCTATCAGCTATTGCTAATTCATTCCCATACAAAATGAAAAATTACAGTTGTCTAAGTTGCCCCTAACTGGCTACTCATTGACTTGTATTAACCTTTACTGCAAATTTGCATTTGCCTTCTATAATTTTCTTAGTGTAATTTACAGGTGGAGTGCGTTGCTTATCCATTCTAAACGTTGTGTTTGCCATCATTTTCGGTCTTCTGGCAATATTTCTTGGTTCAAGCCTCCTCACACTAGGGAGCAGTTGCTCCTTGCCCCTGTTTTGGTGCTACGAGATTGCATCATGGGGTTTGGTCATTCTATATGGGGGAACCGCCTTCTTCCTCAGAAGGAAAGCAGCTGCAATTCTTGATGAAAGCAATTTTGCAGGTCGGAATCTTGGGTTAGAAATGTTGGAAGCAAATCCCATGGAAGTCACGCCAGAAATGGAGAGGCGTGTTAATGAAGGTTTTAAATCATGGATGGGGTCGTCTTTTCTATCCTCTGACGAGGAGGATGAACCTGATGACTATCAGGAAGTGCCTCATCCAGTCCGCACAAACTCAAACAGGCAACAAGTGTGATTGTACCTCTTGGCCAATTCTTCTCAACGTAGTAATTGCTGTAAGTTTTCCTGACTTTTCGGTTTCACCAGTGTTAGGAGTTCAATTCTGGAACGCTGAAGCCAACAATTTTATGATGAGTTAGCTGGTACATACGTATACATGAAGGGTATCGAATGAGCAGGCTTTTGTAATGGTCCTAGGGTGTAGTTGTAGTTTTTGTACAAAGTTTAGTAGTGGAAATAGTATATTCTTTTTTCTCTCATCGCTACAAGCCTAATCCATCTGAAGGGATATCATTTTTGTTCTCTATTGCCGTGTTTCTGCATTGGATTTTGAAAATTTGTCATGTGTTATGATTAATCACTAAAATTAGAATGCAAGTAATGCTACACTTGTTTTTATATTATAATTTGTTTACCAGGTAATGTGTGACACATTTGTGACCAATTGAGAATATCAATGAGATTCACAGGGCGCTAACAATATCAATTTATTTTTGTTTTGTTGTTTTTTTTTTTCATTTGTATATTGATGGGATATATTGATGGAAGGCTTGCGGGAAGATAGATAGTGTCATTCAAAAGTTTGTCACTGGGGCCTATGTTGTAGCCTGTTTTCACAGTAAGGCCTATGTTGTAGCCTGTTTTTTGTTTTGGTGGTCTTGCGATTAAATATGTGATGTTCTAATTTGATTTTTATTGATAATATGGGTGTTTGACAAAGGCTTTTTTTAGCTTTGGGGATAAAATTTATAAAATGACAAAATATATTAAAATAGTCAATCAAATAAAATGTCACATCAACCTATAATCATTTTATTTTTTTCTCATAAATATCACATTCAACTATAAAAAAAAATTAAATTATCTTTTTAAACACAAAAAATTTAGGTTTAGTTTGACATAATCTAAAAAATTTAAAAAATCAAAGTCACTATTCTATTTAAGTCACATCATCTTATTCAAATCATATCATCTCTCTACCATATTATTTGAAATTCAACTCATATTTCACTTTTTTTTTTATAAAAAGTTTAAAAATGCATTTATTTAGATCATCTTAAACAACTCCTTAACCTATTAAAATAGTCAATTAAAATAGTAACTTTCCAAACACTCACATTATGACCTTGGTTGGAATGTTCGCTGTTTAGCTTCTTAGTTATTTTAGGTTTGATTTGGGAATTTTTATTTTTTTGTTGAGGAATTGGTTATTTTAATTGGGGTGGTTTCCTCCTATTTGTATCGGACTGGAAGGTACTGTTAGGCATGCAGAGATTCACCACGGGTCTCGTTTCGATAATTCGAATCGTTCAATGTGTAGAACTCGTCGAATACTATATTATTGTAAAAAATTATGTTAATCGAATATCGATAACTATCTCATCGGATCAGATTTTTGTCAACTGTTTATTTTTTCATTGTCCATTTTTTTTTGTATACAAAACTGATTTGATTATGTAACTATTGATATTCGATCAATGTGATTTTTTACAAATATATAGTACTCGACAAGTTCTACACATTGAACGGTTCATATTATCGAAACGGGACCTATGGTGGGCCCCCACAGGCCCAACAGTACCCTTCAGTTCGATCACAAACCGGAGGAAAACCAACCCCATTTTAATTAGTTTTTTGATTTTTATATATAAAAATATGTGCAGAAAAATATAGAGATTGATGTGACAATTTATAATATTTTTTGATTTTTTAGCTATAATTTTAAGTACCTAAACGAGGCCTAAAAATCAAAAAATCACTATAAGTTGTTAAATTATTCTCCCTAATTTTTTGTATATCTTTTTATAAAAAATTAAAAAGTTACTAAAATAGTCCGTTCTCAAGTTTAGCTTAAACAATTATGTTTGGGGAGTTAATTGGTTTTTTTTAGTTGATTTGATAGTTGTGAGATAAAAAATGAAATGATTATGAATTAAAGTGACATTTTGCCTTATTGATTATTTAGCTTATTTTGTCTTTTAGTAGACTATTTTAGAATAATCATTTTTCCAAACAAGACTATTGTTTTGAAAAAGCTGGTTAAAAATTGATTTTTTGATTTTTTAAAACTTTTTTTGAAAAAAAATGTAAAATAAATAGAGAGATAATATGCTCTAAAATTGGTTAAAGGTTGGTTTTTGATTTTAGTTAATTTCCCAAATTAAGGCTGAAAAAAAATTAAAAAATATAAATTCTAAAATTTAAAGGAGAATTTATTAGAAAATTTGTATTCCAATTGTATTTTAATGAGGTTGTGCTTTGCTCATGTTGAGATTATGACCTCATTTGGAAATTGACTATTTTAGTTAATTTTTTAATTTTTATAAAAATATGTGTAAAAAAATAAAAATCGTGATGTGACAACTTATAGTGATTTTTTTGGCTATAATCTTAAGTCCTCGTAGAGAACTTGAGGAGTTTATAGGGCCTCATCACAAGTTTCGTTCGATAATCCGAACCGTTCATTTTGTAGGGCCTTCAATATATAATATCCATGAAAAAAATTAGTTCAATCCAATAATCGTAACTTTTTCATTTTATTAAATTTGTCTTTGAAAAAAATAGACGACAAATATATTTTTGAAATAGACTATCTATATTTTTAGGGACAAATGCTATAAAATAAAAATGTTACGATGATTGACCTAATTTTTTTTTATGTATATTATATATTGAAAATCCTACCAAATGAACGGTTTGAATTATCGAAATAAGACTTATAGATCGCTCAAGTTCTCTCATGTTGAGATATCAACATGAGAGAAATCCAACCCTTTCAATAAGTCATATTATTTTAGACATTTGATTCACTATATCATAATTTTTATATTTAAAGTATTTTATTTTATCACAAAATTCAAATCCTGAATTTTTATAATTTTTTTTTTCTAAAAGTTAATATTAAATCAATGATTTTACTGAATAAGTCAATAAAAATTGGGGCAAATTACATATACACCCCTCGAGGTTTGGCTAAATTACAGATACCCCCCTGAGGTTTCGGAAATTACATCCCGCCCCCTGAGGTTTGTATTTTCATAACAATTTGCCCCCTGAGGTTTATATTTCATAACAAATTACCCCCTAATTTCTTATGCAAATATAGCATTCAGGGGGGAATTTGTAATTTCTCAAACCTCAGGGGGCATCTGTAATTTAGCCAAACCTCGAGGGGTGTATATGTAATTTGCCCTTTAAAATTAGAAGCGATAAGATTATTAATAGAATTGTGAAAGATAAGATATATAATAGAATTATAAAAATAAATTATAACATGAGATAAATGATTAAAATTATATTTTGTTAGCATAAAATAAAAAATATAATTATTTTTTATCTTTGAATAAAAAGAAAAAAAATAATTCAGAAAAAGCCTAATCCTTCTAATTCCACAATACATAGCTTGTTTGATTTGGGTTTTTAGGATTCACTAAATTAATTTTTTTTTTATTTTCTGTGTTTTTTTTTTTTTTTTTTACTAAATTTTTTTAATATTCTAAGAATTTTTTTAAAAAAATTTTAGATACACTAACATAAATATACTTAAAAAATATAATATTTGTGAAAAAAATCTTTAGAAAATTCACTAAATATCAAAAATACAAGTATTCTTGTGTATATATTAATTTTTTAAAATATTTTTTTACAAATATTTTACTTTTTAGATACATCTAAGTAAGGTGCATATAAAAAAGTAAAAAAAATAATAATTAAAATTATAAAAATATTCACTAAAAAAAATAAAAAAGATAATTTTTGTTTTTTTGTTTTTTTTCATAGTCGGAATGCTAAGCAAGGTCAGTCCATGTTGGGTGCCAAGATGATTATGCCTAGTATTTTTTATTTTGATTCAAGAGGAAAGGTAACAAAGACCACAAAAACAGAGGATAGAAACAAAAAAGAGCAAAAACTTGATGCCCCAACAACATCTGCAATCAACTGGTCTGCAATTTCTCTTGGCGGGTCCTCAAGCACTACCAGGTCTTCAAGATGATTGATTCCAATATTCACTAACCCATTATACTTAGTATGATGATTATGCTTGGGAGAGGTTTACCTCACTAGCGGAATTCGTAAGATTCCATTTTGTGTTTATAAATTTGAAATGTATGAATTTGAGAATAATTATTTAAGAAGAAAGTAATAAGAATAGCTCAAATTTAGATGATAATTTACTCAAGTATTTTAAGAATATATGATAAGGTTTTATCATGGTGCATTTAAAATATTTACGCAAAAGTAATTATTTGAAACCATGCTAACCTTTTTTTTTTTTTCAAAGGAAATAGAACAAAGCAGGAAAGAAACAACAAAACAAAAAAAAAAGAAACAAGGGACACTTAGGCCTCATTTAGGAATAGACTTTTTTAGTAATTTTTTTATTTTTTGGCTAAAATATGATGTAAAAAAAATTAGTATGTTTGTAATGACTTTTTGGCTTTTTACGAAAAGATATGCAAAAAAGTAGAGAGAAAATGGAATCTTTGACTTTTTGGTATAAGTTGTTGGTTTTTTTAGTAACTTTTTGACTTTTTGGCTAAAAAAATCACTTGCCAAACGAGGCCTAAGTTCTTACACAAGATGCCCCCACCATGTCTGCTATCAACAGACTTACAATGGATCTTAGTGGGTTATCAAGCACAACCAGATTGTCTTGGTGGGTAGCTCCTAAATTTGCTAGTCCATCTGCACATTTGTTGGCCTCTCTAGGTGTGTAACTGATGGAGCAATTGCACCTGTGCATGAGAAATTTGGTGTCTTCAAGGAGAGCTCCTTGCGCAAAATTTGGAGGAGTGTCCCCTTTGATGAACAACACCACTTGCTCAGAATCTGTTTCTATGAGAATGTCTGTCATGTTCTTCTCTAGGATGATGGTGAGACCTCTGTAAACTCCTCACAATTCAGCAACCTCACTGGTTGCATTTTCCAGCTTTTCATGATAACCATGCAACCATGTCCCTCTTTCATCTCTGAATAAACCTCCATATCCCGTTGGTCCAGGATTTCCTTTAGAGCATCCATCCGTGTTAAGCTTAATTTTACCTGCAAGAGGACAACACCAATTAGAAACTTGAGGTATTTTCCTTCCCGTGAAATGATCAATCAGAAAAGCTTCCTAAATTTCAATGGCTTGCAAGTGAATAAATCTAGCAGCCGCCTGTGCATTACAATATTCTTGGCAAAAAACTACATTATTCCTGTCTTTCCAAATTTTCCAAAGGGTTAGAATAAAAACAGTTCCCCATGGTACATTCCAGATTTTAGAGTTCTTACTTTTCAAATTAGATAGCAACCATTGATCAAAAG